TCTGTGCTGTGAAATGTCTATGAATGTATACAAGCGACAAGAGAAGCTGCGTCTCTACCGTGCCCTTCTAAGGGGGGCAAATCGTTTCCCATTACGTTCTCGGCGAGAAATAGTGCGGGAGGAAGTTCGAGGTGCCTTTCGGCATCCTCTGAATGATTCACTAACGACGAAGGAGGTGGATTACAAGCTTCTTTTGGGGTGGGAACGGGCCGCCGCTATTCAGACCTACGCCGAGAACATGTACTGGTTCCATTCCCGAGATGAGGTTTCGAGGGAAATGATGCATCATTCCCTTGAGCGGGACCGTCAGCGCATTAGGGAGATGGAGCGGTGTAATGCCGTGGGAAATGCGGAAATAAAAACGCCAGAGGTGACTGAATTCAAGTCATCGATGTACCATGTGCATCCGGACTATCACGGGAAGATTGGACAGATGCCGCTGACACACAGCCGTGACATTTGGAGAGCGCGTGGACAATATGGATCCGATGTCGGCGGTCCCCGACAGAAGTTTTATGTTCGTCGCTTCAAGGCCTTATTTCCACAGGGTTGGTGACTGTACCAACCTGTGCGTGTGTGTGGGTTTACTTTTTGTATGGCGGCTTTTTAATTTTTGTGTGCTGTCGAGCATGCAGTCAGCTGTTTTTGAAATTTGAGTTCTTCTTCCCTACTCGTGCGTCCACTGCTAGGGCGGAAAGGAATGGCAGCGGGATTTAACCTGGGGAGGATCTTGGTTCGTCTTGTTTCTGGCAAACCGGACGGTGGTGAGCTTCGCGATGTGGAGGTGTTTGACGCCACAATGAAGCACATGACAGGTTGGTACGCCATCGTCGGCTCCGCAGCTCTTGCCGTCGTGCCGCTGTTGTACACATCATTGCGAGCGTTAGCATGGAGGCGAAGGGCATTGATTGTGCGGACGGCCCAGTCTTTCTCGCATATTTCTGCGGACTCCAAGGCCGTTGGTCAGAAGCCGAGCTGTTCACCGTTTCTCCCGACTTCACGGACGGTTTTGGCCGCACGGCGTATTATCGACGCGGAGCGAGCCACAGATGTGGAATTCGCAAAAGCATTTTCCGCGGAAGTGGTGTGTGCGTACGTGGATGTTGTTTTCCGGGGTCTTATGCGATTATACTGTCGGCACTGTATTTTTCACGTGTGTGTTTTTCTGGTGTGCACTGCAGTTGGGGCGCATGCCGGTGGTCGTCTGGCGAGCAGTGAGAGTGTTGGTTGCTGTAGTGTTTCTACTGTTACTGGCGACACGGCGGTGAGTCTGTCAGTTCCCAGCCTGTTTCGGCGGGTGTGGCTTCACCTGCGTCATGGGGCGCTGCTGCGGTTTGCTGCGGAGGGAGTGTCGACTCCATACGCGTTCTTCAGTTTTAGTGTTTCGACTCCTCGAATGCTCGAGCGGTGCTTTCCGTGGATTGGCGTTCTCCATGACGCCGCGTCCCGCTATTTCGGCCCGGGTGTTTACTTGGACAGTCGTTGGAGGTCCCCTGAAGTGGCAGACCGCGTTTGGCGTGCGATGACCCCAAAAGGTTTTGCCGCAATGTGGTGTTGTCGTTGTGTGACGGGTGTGCTTCAAACAAATTGCTTTAGAACAAGAAACGGGCCCGCGGAGTATTTATTTCAGGTATCTGGTAAGGAGCAGGCATCCTGTGAGGTCCACTATTCGGGGGAAGTAAATGCTGCGGATACCGAAGGGGAACGGGAGCATGAACCCTCCTGCATGATGTCTTGGCTGCGTCCTCTGACTCTCTTTGTGATGCGCACGGGCAAAACATCCATGGTGGTGTTTGCCGTGACATCATGTGCCTCGAGGACAAATTTGTCGTGGCTGCCATTTCCATGTGCCGGTGGCCCACAGTATGTGGCGTTGTGTTACACCGAGATGACGCTGATGTTATTGAGCTTATCGTTTTTTATCTTTTCTCCCCCGTTGAGCCTTGGATCACTCACCGCAGCAACGCCATGAACGTGATGCAGCCATGCTTTGAGCGGTTTGCCTTTGTAAAACCGCCCTCTTTGTGTGCACCTGTCCCCTATATATATATATGTGCGTGTATCTGCATACAAGGAGAGAGGCAAGAGGAGTGGGAGGAGGTAAAGGAAGGGACGGGGATTTCTGACGTGCATTGGCGTGCTGAATCTAACTTCTTGAGAATCCGAGGGGAGATGGGGACCGGGCCCAGGCGTGCGGTGCGGAGTTGGATGCATTTGTATGTGGCCGGGGAGGAGGCTGCGGGGGCGCCTAAATGAGGAAGAAGAAAAAAAAAAGGAGGAAATTGGAGGTGTGGTGGCGGCGAAGGGTTTGCGGTGAATCTGGTGTTTGTGTTCCTGTGCGTGTTCCACATCATGCCCCTCTTTGACTCATCTCTCAGCCAGGATGCAGCCAAAGCACGGGAGTTGTGCACATGGACCACACGTTTCCCGAGAAATATTTCAGGGAAGCACTTTTTTCTCGACCATGAGCTTGGAGATCTTGAGGCAACCGCACGGTTTGAAGACAGGCAGAAGCTTCTATTCTACGCTCTGCGGCGGCAGGCCGAGCATGGTCCATGCACGGGCGCGGCACCATCCATATGGTGGACGCGTGAGCGCACGAATTACAATGCATGGAAGCAACTGGGCGACATGTCCAGATTTGAGGCGATGGTAAATTTCTGAGTTTGCTCGGCAAGTGTTTGGGGGTGAAGTCAACTGGATGGGGGAAGCGCAGGGCTCTGGAGAACAGCATCTCCCATGCGGCGGACGGCGAATCCTTTACGGCACCGGACGGAATTGGCAGCACACATTCCCCAGGAGAGGAGCACACGTGGGACGATGATGAGCGTGCCCACCGTGGAGACTGCAAGATATTTGGCATCGCAGGTCATGCGGTTGCGACGTGGGGCACATCAACCGCGATTGTCGACAGCTGAAAAAAAACGAGGGAAGGTGTTGCTGTGCGTCTGGCGCCACCACCCATCAAAGCGCCAACGGGCAACGCGGGCTCTCCCCAGAAGGCAGTGCCGGTGCCGCCAGGGAGACCCGTTGCAAGGAGGAGTGGTGGCGTTGGGAGGCCCCCGACTGCCTTTTCCGACCCCCCGGAGGCGGTGAATGGGGTGGGCGGAATGGCTTGGACTCATTGAGCAATCAAGAAGGGGAGGGGAGGAAAATGAAACGCTCCTTTTTGGAATGCATGGCCGCGATTGGGACCTCGCTGTTTGCGTTTTGTTGTTGTTTTTGTTGTTTCAATTAATTGACGCTGCTCTGCTCCTTGTGCCCCGTTTGGGCAAATGTGCCTTTGGCCCGGATTGAGCGTGCCTTGAATGGCGCCCATGGGCTTTTTGGATGCACTCTTTTATGTTGTTCCCTCTCTTGTGTACCCTCCCATGATGATTTCCCTTCAGCCTCATTTGCATTTCTTTTCTTTGTCACGTCCAGTTGTGTTCATAACTTGGTCCGATGGCAAGTGCACTGTAACGTCGCGCCAACGTCCACAAGGAACCACAAAAATATGAAGCACGTGGCCGGTGTCTTTGCGGATGGTGTGGCTGCAGGACCTTCTGACCCGACGAGTGTGCGGCGCGCTGACTGTGGGGAAGCGACGGTTCCGTTTCCACGTTTTGCCGAAACAATTTTGCTTCATGGACTTTCTTTGTTTGGGTGGTGCAAAACCCGCACGATGCCGATTGGAGGCAACGGACTGCGCCCCACTGGCGGAGGTGAGGCCCGCCATCTCTCGGGGGGACGGATTTCCTGAAGAAGAAAAAGAAGAAGAAGAAAATTCGATGGCCGACGAAAAGAAAAAGTCTGCGCGTCATGCAGGACAATGGGCCACGCGAGGGACTGAACGCACCAAGTGAGGGCGGCTCTTTCCCCCCGTTGACCCAAACAACGGCATGAACTTTTCTCCTTTGTCCATTAATACAATTATTAAATAAGTGACAAGCCAAATGCATTATAAAATTTCGACGCAGAAAGCAAAGAGACAGTGATATCAAGGCGACTCGCCCAATCACGGCCTCCTCGGGATCGCCCAACCACCCCCAACACCATGCAGCTTATGAAACGTGCAACATTGTTGTTGTGTACCGTGCTATTACATTTTTTTGTTTACGTGGGGTGTGCAACTGAATGCAGCTCTGTTGGCTAAAAGGAATATGTGACCGTCTCCCGCCATCAATCTTGGTGCGATCGGTCTGGTACTGTGCGTGAATCCCCAACTCGTGCGTATGGTTGCGGGTCTCCAGCGCGCTTTTATTTCAGGGCTTTTGCTGCTGTTTCACTGTTGGGTGAACGGGTCTCTCCGTCCACTGTTTACACGGCGTCTCGGGCGAGGCGAGAATGAGCGGCGAAAATTGCTGCGGAGCTCATGCGGGCGCCAGTTCTCCGTCAATGGTCTATTCCTCTCGTACTTTTGCCCACTGGCCTTCGCGCTGACCCGCGGAATGGGCGGAGTTGCTTGTCTCGGCTCCGCCCATTCTGCGCGCAAAGAAAGAATGGACGTGTTTCTCTACTAAGAAGACGATACCGCAAAATGAGGACA